TCTTGTCATTGACCGTTACCCCTCGCTGAATCACAACAACAGTCTCCTGGAAACAGCTGCCTCTGTGGTGGACATGGTGCACGGTAGGAAATCCTACTTGCGGTGCTGGTGGGGGCGGGTGGGGTGGTGTGCCGCGGGGTCTACTTTGGTTGGGGGGGGATCAGAGCTGTGGGCCCCACTGTGTGTATGGTGCACAGGCAGTGGGAGGGGGGGGCTATGGGTCTGGTGAAGATGAACCAAAACTAAAAGTGTGAACGATGAATACAGGCAGCTTGGGTGGTGGTGGGAGACGATGTCTGTGCATGAGGCTGGGCTCTGTGGAGTTGCTCCTGGATCCTGCCACGACCACATCATACTCCCAGCCTTGGTGTGCTTCATTGTAAGACTGTCCTTTGGAGTCAGAAGGTCCTGGGATTTACCTTCCATGGTGCTCCTTGTGCCCCCGTTCCCTGCCTACCCTATTCTGCTTGCTCCGCCACCCTTTTACCCCTCCTTTACCTGTTTACCCACCTGTGGGAGTGGGGCTGGGGAGATCAGTCAGGGTTGAAAGAAGGGGTTTTATCAGTGTGGTTTGGCCTGTGAGTCTTTCATTGCTTGTCCTACTGAGCAATGAAGACTAGGTCCCTGGGAGAGGGACTGGAGGATCACTGGTGGGTGGGGTGGGGTGGGGACGTCCAGGGGATTGGGGAATAGCTTGGTGAATTATGATAAGGGAGTGGAGGGGGAAGAATGTGGAAACTTCTGTTTATACAGAGCATCGAGGCAATGTCATGGTGGCTGAGTTCAGCATTGGAGTGTTGAAAAGACAGCTATGTTTCTGATTTAATGTGATATAGAGAGATAATAAGTCAGTGACTCCCTGATAGGTTAATGGTTATTTCCCTGTCACTGACTTCTCGTGAACTCTGCCAGCTCACTGTAGCTTCACTGTGCTTGTTCTGTAAATAGTATCTACCAGGAAACCTTGTGTCTGCTCAGCACTGCATCCTCTCTCTCTCTCTCTTTCTCACTTACTTCCTCCTTCTCTCTTGCCTCCATTCTTTCTCTTCCCTTCCCTCTCTCCACCCACTCCCCTCTCTTTCATCGCTCCCTCTCTTCCACTCTTTTCTCACTCACCCTTAATTTCTCTCACCCCTTCTCTCTCCTCACACAATCTCTCTTTCTTCTCTCTCTCCCCTTTCCTCTCTATCTGCCGTCTCTCTCAATCTCCCCATCTCTCTCTCCCCCACCCCCCTATCTCTCACCCCTCTTTCTCTCACCATGCTCTGTCTCTCCCTGCTTCCTCTCTACATATCTCTCCTTTCGCACATGCCCCCCAACATTCCCTCCCTCCCTTCTCTCTCACCCTCTCTCCCCTCCATTTCCCGTCACACACACTCTCCCTTCTGTCTCTCCCATCTATCTCCTCTGTCCCTCCCTTCTCTGTCACTCTTTCTCCCCTCTATCTCCCCTGTCCCTCTCTCCCCTCTATCTCCGTTGTCTCTCTCCCCCCTCTGACTCTACTGTCACTCTCAGTCTCCCTCTCACCCCCCACCTCTCTCTCTCTCTCTCACACGCTCCCTCCCTCCCTCTCTGATTGCTGCAGTGGTTTTATTGAATACTGTATTCAGGCTGTATTCAGTTCCCTTAAAGTGAAGTCTGATCTGTGTAGGGCTCACTGACATATTGCTCATTCTCAGTGATCTTTGAGATGTTGGTGCCTTGCTAGGGCCCTCTGGCAGGCCATTAAGAGTCACTGCAGTGCGGAAGGAGGCTATTCAGCCCTTCAGGTCCATGTTGGCCGTCTATAGAGCGATCTGAATAGTCTGAGAGTGGGGCTGGCATAAACGAACCGGGTAAACCCAGTAGGTCTCTGTCCCAAGCATATGAGTGAATCAGTTGGGTTCTCACAACAAGATAATTATTCTTGGTCTTTAAAAATTATTTTAAAACAATATTGAAAATCTGAAACAGCCACAGTGTGATTTGAACTTGATCCATGGAACTGTATTTGATTGGCTGACCCACATTGGGTCAGTATAATTTGGTGGGAGGGGGCACTGGTGGGTCAGGTTTTGTGGGTGGCTCACCAAATCCAGGCCTGGGTTTGAGGTATTCATCATGATTTTTGGAACAGTTGGTGGTCCTATAAATTTCTGCCACTTGACACCCCCTCCCCAAACCAATCCTGCAGCTCTGTCCTCCCCAGTGGAGATCACAGCACCCGAGATTCCCAGCTTCAGTCCTTCAGAGTTCCCATCATGTCCAACCAATGATTCCGCCCCATACAGCCTCGATTCCCTGTGTCCCAAAATTGAGATATTCCGTCTGTACGGAGCGGGGAGCGGGGCTGAGAATCTCCCGGGAGAGGCGAGAAATGGGATTCACACTTGGTTGGTCTTGAATTTACTGAAGACAGAGACGTGTTTCTGAAGCTTTAACTTGTCAGGGCCACATTGCAAGAATACCAAATTTCCGACAACCATCTGTAGGGTTGTTTCAAATGTGACATTCCTGTGTTTTTGTTGGAGGGGTGGGAAGGGGAAACTCTTCACTCCCCGCCATGATTTCCCATCTCCAACCAGCCACCCACTTCCAACAGCCTCTGCCTCTAATTCTGATATTTTGTGACGAATGAATGGGAGAGTACCAAAGAAACCCCTTCAATTAAACACTTCTTTGTCTCTTTTTGTTTTGAAACTGCTCCCCCCCGCCCTGCACAAGGTTAATCTTTAATTTCAGGAGATGGCAGGGCATTCCTGGAGGGTTGGCAATGTGACAACTGAGACTGGGAATCGCAGTGAGCAGCACCAAGTTGGATTTCTGTACAATATACAGTTTCTGTACAGTGCCCCAAGGCACTACACGGGTGGGCATTATCAAACAAATAGTGACACTGAGAGATGTGAGGATGGGCGTACTTGGAAGAAATGGGATCTTAACAAGCCTCTCAAAGAGGGGAGAGGGAGCGAGGGAGGGGAAACGTCTCGGAGGAGGAAAGCGATAAAGAAGTGGGGAGATTTTGCGGAGAGGGTTCCAGATCTGGGGCAGCTGAAGGAGAGGCGCAGCTAGGAAAATGGAGTGGGGTGCGCAAGTAGCACAGAAATCCTGGAAGACTGGAGGAGGATGATGGAGGTGGGGAATGGGCCATTGCTTGGATCGGAAAACCAGGCACGGACCCACAAGAAGGTGGTGACGAGGCAGGAGAGGGGAAGTGGGGATAAAGACCGGCAGCTCCATAGTTTCCAGGCACGGGGAAATTCCCGTTTTCCGTCATCCTCCCAGCCCCCCACCCTGCTCTGCAGGAACTTGGTTTTTTTTTTGGGTGCGTGGGACTTTACTGGCAGGGCTCAGCAGCTGTTCAGAGCTGCTGCACTGTGCGCGCGTGTTGTGTGAGGAGGAAGTGTACTGACTTTGCAGCGTTGCTGATGTCACAGGGCTGGAGGAAGATGGGGTCGATGCCCTTCAGAGGGCTGGGAGCAGGTAGCCGCTGTCTGCTAGAGGGACCTGCGTGATGCCAGCCTCTCTCAGCTGGGCACCGAGCCCTGTCTCCCGCCTCCCTGCCAACCCCCTCAACTAAAGCGTTAACAAGCCCCTCTCGCTACTTCTCCCTTCGCTGTTGAGTGACGGCTGCTCCACTGAACAGCAAAGAGCTGTCGCTGCAATTAACTGGTGACTGAGGTGTCAGCATTGGAGGTGACAGAAACATGGGGGATGCAAAGGAGAACGGTATGTAACGGCTTGGGGGGGCACGGTCTCCCAGTCACCGAGATCTGTAACTCGAGGCTTCTCAGCCGCAGGTTTTAGGCAGGCGGCCGTGAATCCGAAATGATGGCCGTTGTTTGGAGAACGTGTGTTTATATTTCACAGATATTTGGTTTTTAGTCTCCATTTAGGTCAGCACCCACCACATCCTGTGACATTTGTATGTAGCCAGATGTCTGTGTGTGTGAATAGCTGGAGCTCCAAAGTAGATTCCTGCTGGTGAAAAGCTTGCTTTTCGTTGTTTCTCTCCAAGGAGTTCATTATCCAACTTTTATTTCCGATAGGCTGACTAACTGGTGTTTTTGTGTGGCAGATCAGGTTTGCTGTGGTGACCCTGATTTTACTGCGATCGGGTGTGAGGGGGCTAGGGAACAGGAGCGGGAGGGTGGGAGACTGGGACGGGTGGATGGGAGACTACGGGACGAGGGTACTATGAAGATGCGAAACGTGAAAGGCTGATGCTGCATTTTCAACCTGTGACCCTAGTCGCCATTTTGGTGGAAGCCAAATCCTTGCAGAGATTTTTTTTCTTTCGTTTGGTCGAGTCTCCCCCATCTCTCCCTCCGTCTCCATGGCAACTCCGTTGAGGCTGAGTTGCAGGCAGTGACAGTGTGTAGGTGAGGAACCATCTGGGGAGATGTGCTTCCCACCCTCCCAGCCCCACCAACACACTTTGATTCTCCATCCTTCTCGCAGGGTCAAAAGGTTGGACTGCGCCTCTCTGAGGCATTGTGGGTAACCTCTGTGCCCAGTCAGCCAATGCCAAAAAAAGGCTAATTTCTGTGGCACAGTGCCCAGTGATGTTGATCAACCTAGTAACATGGGTAACAGTAGAAGGAAATGGTTCTGAAGGTGTTTATGTTAATGTTACATCGGCTCCACGCATTCTATTGAGGTCACACACAGAGTCTGTAGGGGGAGAGACAAGGATTCTGCTCCAGTTTTCAGAGGGAGCAGATCTATCTGTATCAGCTGCCTAAGGCCCTGGTCATTCTGCTTGACCAACTTAGTGCTGTCATGCAGTAAACCTTCTTGTTGTCCAAAGACAGAGCCTCTCTTGTAGATACTGAATGGTGGGGTCTGCCCTCTCCCATTAATCACCAGATTGGCCTAAGACAAAGCAGGATTGGTGCCTGCAAACCACCTCGAAAAACCTGTACCCCAGTGCCACATACTGGCAGAGAGGGCAAATACCCACAAGGTACCAGGATTGCTCCTCTAGCTAAATGCTCCAAATACCCTGTAAGGAAGACTGACCGCAATAACATACAAACGTAACAACATTCAGAGGAACTTCACTTGACTAATTCCTGAGACAAAGTGCTTGTCTCGTGTGGAAAGCTCAAGCAGGTAGCATCAGTGTCCATTGGGCTTTAGAAGAATGAGAGATAATCTTATTGAAATTATCCTGAGAGAACATGACAGGCCGTACGCCTAGAGGATGTTTGCTGTTGAGGGAAGCCAGAATATGGGACACAGTTTAAAAACCAAGGTCTCCCATTTGAGCTGGGGATGAGGAGAAATTTTTGGCGTGAGTCTCAAGAACTCTCCCCTAGGCAATGGCAGAGATGGGGGTCCAATGACTGTGTGTGGTAAATAGCTTCATGACTAACAAGTGGTAGCCAGGGTTGGAAGAGAAATGGAGTTAAGGTCACAACCAGCCATGATCGGGTTGAATGGCACAGCAGGTTTGAGGGGCCAAATGGCCCCCACCTGTTCCTAATTTGCATGTTCTTGTGTGACCTGAGAGAACAAATGGGACTTTATCTAAGTGTCTCATCTGAAAGATGGTACCGCCGACAGTGTAGCACTCCTCAGTATTGCACTGGGAATGTTGGTGTGAATTTTGTGCTCACGTCTTTGAGAGTTCCAGGTGGTAGTGTGAACGTAGCTGATGATCCCAGAATTGTTACAGTGCAGAAAGAGGCCGTTCAGCCCATTCTATTTCCTAGTTATACTGACTCTATTACCTAGTGCTTAGTTTTCTCCCAGAGTCAATCCATCTTGTGTCGATAACAAAACAATATTTCGTTTCTCTTCCTTACTGATTGGTAACTTAATTCCCTGAAACCTCTCACACCCACCAACCCTTCAGAAATGCTACATATGTCCAACTCTGGTCCCTTGCAAATCCCTACACCTCTCCCTCCACCCCTGTTGGCTATGCTTCCAGCTGCCTAGGCCGTAGGCTTTGGTATTTCTTCCCGATCTATCTACTCATTTTTAAGATATTTCTTAAAATCCGCCTCTTAGACTGAGCTTTTGGTCACTCATCCTTTGGCTGGGTCTTAAATTTTGCCCAAGAATTCTCCTGGGATGTTTTACTTTGTTAAAGTTCGTAGGTTGTTGGAGATTAACACTGTCGAGGATCCAGTAGTTGGGCCCCTCTGACCAGGGAAGGCCTTAATGACCATGGCACCTGGAACAGAGAAAAAGCACTATGTTCATGGGGAACAGCTCTGTTGCTATGGTTGCCAATAACATACTATGAATAGCTATGCTGGTTAGGAAGGGAAAAGGAATAAGTCTTTAAGGAACTTTCCAGGTCACATTAAGATAAAGGAACAGGAGTTGGCTATTCAGTCTCTCAATTGACACAGCACAGTGGCTCAGTAAGGGACCTGGGTTCGATTCCACCCTTGGGCGACTGTCTGTGTGGAGTTTGCACATTCTCCCTGTGTCTACGTGGGTTCCCTCCGGGTGCTTTGGTTTCCTCCCACGGTCCAAAGATGTGCTTGTTTGTTGAATTGGCCATGGGAAATTGCCCATTGTGTCCAGGGATATGCAAGCTGGGTGGGTTAGCCATGGGGAATGCAGGGTTATAGGGCTAGGGTAGGGGGGTGGGTCTGGGGGGTATGCAATTCGGAGGGTTGATGTGGACTCGATGGGCTGAATGGGATTCTGCGATTCTATTCCATGATTCTATGATCCTGTTTTCCACCACTCAATGAGATCATGGCTGATCTGTGGCCTAACTCCATATATATCTCTTTTGGCCCATACCCCTTAATACCTTCGCTTAACAAACATGTGTCTGTCGCAGATTTAAAATTAACAACTGATGTAGCAATTGATAGATATACGACAAGGGCCTCATACCGTCATCAAAATGGTGGCGGAGTAGGGCCCCTTAGCCAGGCTCATCTGCTCTGACCACTTTTCGTTTCTTTCTTTTCTTCTTTGTTTCCTTCTTTTTCATTTTGCTTACCTTTTGTCCTGATCTTGGACAGGCATTGGTGGCAATGAGGAGGCCCATGGTGGACTCGGGTGGGCCCAGGGCGGAGTGGTCCCAGGGCGGACTCGGGTGGTCCCAGGGCGGACTCGGGTGGGCCCAGGATGGAGTGTGCCCAGGGCAGACTCGGGTGAGCCCAGGGCGGAGTGGGCCCAGGGCGGACTCGTGTGGGCCCAGGGCGGAGTGGGCCCAGGGCGGACTCGAGTGGTCCCAGGTGGACTCGGGTGGTCCCAGGGCGGACTCGGGTGGGCACAGGGCGGAGTGGGCCCAGGGCGGACTCGGGTGGGCCCAGGGCAGAGTGGGCCCAGGGCGGACTCGAGTGGGCCCAAGGCGGACTCGGGTGGGCCCAGGGCGGACTCGAGTGGGCCCAGCACGGATTCGGGTGGGCCCAGCACGGACTCGGGTGGGCCCTTGCTTACTTTTCTGGGGCAAGCATGGGACCCGGCATCGGAATCGGCAGCTGCTACATCAGCAGAGGCGATGTCGGTGAGGTAGGCCCCGCGATGAGAGATGGCGCCTGAGGAACAGTGACTTTGTCGTTGGTTGGGTCAGGTGCTGGTGGCGGTGATAGAAGGGCATCATGGCGACATCGATGAAGTGGGCCCAGCGGTGAGCCCAGTGAAGATGGTGGCATGGCAGTGGCAGAGGAGAATTGGCCCGGCACCAAAAGATGGTGACTTTAATGTAGGTTGGGTCCAGTGTAGATGGCAGTGAGGTGGTGGAGGAGGGATGGTGGCACAGGCATTGTTGATGTTGAGCTGGCTGAGGACTGATGGACTCTCTCTCAACTCTATCTTTTTTATTTCTTTAAGCTATATCTTTCTTTTTTTTCTTACTCTTAAAACTTTTCAAAATGGCACTGGATTGTGGTGACAGTGCAAAAAAAAAATTTCCCTGTATTTTGCTGTTTTTCTCAGTGTAATATAAATGTGACAGTAAAATCATTCCTTCACTCATTCTACACTCTTCTGATTCTGTTCCCAAACTGAACTGCACTGCCTCTGATGGCTCTGTCTTCAGTTACCAAGGTCCTGGGTTTCCCTCCTTAAAGCTTTCCACCTGTTCATCATCCAAGTTGCTTTGAAGAAGAAGCTTAAAATCCAGCTTGGTTTTGATCAACCTGGTGAATAACTCCTGCAGTCAGGTTGTCAGATTGTATTACTATGAGGTGCCTTGGGACTTGAATGGTGCTATGTAAATTCAAGTTGTTGTTGCCGCGCTTCAGACAGGTTTTAATGTAGTCCTGGCAAGGAAGCCGCGTTCTCTCAGCTCAAACTGTAATGACCAGGTTCCTCCTGTGCTGTTGCTAACTCACAGTCACCCACAGAGCTCCTCTTGCATACTGACAGCTCAACCGCTTGCCTGCAGGGGGTTTACCGTGTGAGGTCCATGAAGGGTTTGTGTAGGAGAGAGGAGGGAGGCAAGCAATCGAGCTTGAAGCGAAAGGCTGCTCAATTGTGGAAACCAGTGTTCTTTCCCAGACCTGGGTCAGAACAGCGATTCCAACCAGCTCCACCCAGCTGTTGAGCAGAAGTTCTGTAAATTTCCCAAACTGAAACAAACACAAGTAAATCTAATGACGGAAGGGAGGCACTTACACACATACACACACACACCCTTTGCGAAGATGTGTTATACTGATGAACACTCTGGTTTATGTACAGTTTTGGCCCCGTTATCTAAGGACCAATCTACTTGCTGTAGAGACAGTGCAGTGGAGATTCATCCAGCT